TAAAGGGACTTTGGATCTCTTCAATGTTTGCATTATGACTGTCTGGTGTACATAATTTATAGGGCATTTCTTTGGCTCAGTTAACTTTCAAGTAGCTCTCAGAAGTGTAAAATCTCACTTATTGCAGCAGACATGTAAGTGGCAGTAGCACAAAAAACAAAACTCAATATGGGTTCGACATAGTAACAAATACGCGTAAATGCATGTAGTATTGTTGTGTATACTGACTACATTGTACAGATAATATTCAGGTATACAGCTAGTGTTAATTTTATATTTATGAGGAATTTTGCCTCAATTAAAGACACCGTACATGGTGGAATAGCAGGTGTTAACCTGGGGGGATTGTAAGATATATGGCTGTAGTCATCGAGCATTCAGAGCCTTCATTTACTGACCTTAAAAATGCTCTTTCAGAGGACTGTTCACAGTACTGAATGAAACAAATTGTAGATGTTCAGGCTTTATAGATGCTCCAATGGCTCTTTAAATAATTTCATTATTTCTTTGAGAATTTCATACAGTATATTTGATCATGTGCACCTTCTCCCTCAGCTCCCCTCCTCACATACCCACCCACTCAACTTCATGGCCTCTTTGTGTGAGTCCATGCCATGAAGCATGGTCAGCCTACCAAAGGTCACACCCTTAAAGAGACAATTCTCCATCTCCCAGTAGCTACCAGGTGCCATCAGCTGGAGGTGGGATATAGTATCTAATCCCTGCCGTACCGGGATTTTGTCAGGCTTTAGCTTGAGCAGGTCTTGTGCACAGCAGCTGTGAGTTCATATGTGAAACCTCCCTGTTGTGCCCAGAAAACACAATCTCACTGTAGTCATCTACCACCTCTGGCTCTTACAGTCTTTCTTCTATTCTTCTGTGCTGTTCCCTGAGCCTTCAGCGAAGGACTGTGATATAAATATCCCATGTAGAACTTGGCACCCGAAGTCTCTTATTCTGTGTATGTTGACCATTGGGAAATTCATAGAGGTCAGGAAATTCATAAGGGACCATGGGACAGGGGCTTTCAAGGGAAAGGAGGGAGAGAACGCAATTATTTAAAGAGGGAAGGGGAATAACGGAACGGGAAAAGTTAATTTGGGTGAGGAATGGGAGGCTGGGAGGGAGGATGGGGAGAGATACCTAAAACTAAAGGCATTTTGAAAAAGTCAGATGCAAAGCTGCCACTGTAGATGCTTCCTAAAATATATACATGTACAAAGAGTTTAAATAGAAGTACCCTATGATGGGGCAACAATGCCCCTACTAGACAACATAGGCTGACAAATAAAAAGCCCAGGGCCAAGAATGGGTTACCTCTTTTGGAGCTGTTAGCCAGTGGGCTATAGCCATTGTTCTTGGTCATCTTCCAGAACATGATGGAAGGACCCTATTGCTGCCGACACCACATACTGAAGTCCTAAGACATGGAGAAAGAGCACTGGCCCTGACCGTCTAGCTTCATCTCTGCTGGCCAGTTTTCATAGTGCTCCAAGTACTGTGCTTGCTCAGAGGAGAAACGTCACCAGTCTTCTTGGGCTGTGGACCCTGTGAGCTTTAATGATGACTTGTGTTCTTTTTGTTGAGGTCAGAGGACACTATAAAATGTTGAAGCATCCAGATTCTCTGAGAAAAATAATAGGTTCCTTAACACTGAGTTAATATGATGAATAGACCACTTTTACCTTCTCAGTGTTCTCAGAGGATTATCTTTTATAATCTCTTAAATCTGATAAAACTGAAGTATACTGTATGCTTTTTTTTAATCTCTGAAAATTGGCAACAAATAAATGTTTCTTTTTTCTTAATTTTTAATTAGTGTATAAAGTAGCAGGTTTTCTTACAACCTATTCATACATACTTGGTTTCTTTTTGTTGTTGTTTTGTTTTCGTTTGCGAGACAAGGTCTCACCACATAGCCCTGGCAGGCCTGGGACTTGCTATGTAGTCTAGGTTGGCCTCGAACTCACAGAGATTTGCCTGCCTCTGCCTCCCAGGTGCTGGGATTAAGGGTGTCCTCTACCAAGCCTGGGGCGTACATAGCTCTGACGGATCCCTCTCCCAGTTCTTGGTCCTGGCCGTGTGCACGCGGCACCCTCGTTCCTCTCCCACGTTGTTTGCTTCTGCTTTCTTCTCTGTCTTCCCTTCGAGCTTCTTTTTCCTCCTTGTGGGTCCCTTTCTAGTTTCCTGACTGCCACCCACGCTTAGTCCTGTATAAATACACATACAGGAAATTTAAAACTTAGGATCCTTGTCTGAGAAAGAGCATGTAGTATTTACCTTTCTGGACCTCACTTAGTATAATTTGTTCCAGTTCCATTCATTTTCCTGTACAGTTCATTTTTCTTTATAGCCGGATAAAATTACATTGTGCATATGAAGTACATTTTCATTATTCATTCAGCAGGTGATGGACATTGAGGCTGATTTCATTCCCTAGCGTTTGTGACTAGCACAGCAATGGCCATGGATGTACAAGTGTGTCTGTGGTAGGATACAGAGCTCTTTGGACTAGTCTGGTATAGCTGAGTCACACAGTAGTTACACTGATTTCCACAGTAGCTGCCTCAGTTTCCACTCCCACAAACAGGGGATAAAGGTTTCCTTTCCCCTCCTCACCAGCAGTGTTCTCACGTGTCTTCTTTATGATGGCAGTTCTGACTGGAGGGAGGTGGACTCTTAAAGCAGTTTAATATGAATTTCTCCCCTGGCTGAAGATGCCTGTTTCTATAATAACTAAAACATTTATTCTATCAGATATTTTTCACAAAGTACTAAATGTTCATTTTCTTTAGTGAATAAAGGATAGTTTGACATTTTCCTTGCACAATGGATGTGTTATTTTATGAATTCATTTCTGTTTATGATGATCGTGATTTATAATAGGTCCTTGAACTGAGCTGTTGCCCTGTGACATATTGCAAAGCCCCTCACCTGTGCTGACATGTCTAGTCTTCACAAGAAGCTAATGAATGTGCTCATCAGTATACTGAGGAGGAGATGAAGCAGAGCAATCATGTGGAATTATAATGTACAACATTTTCTTATATGTTATAGACACCTCCATAGGCTTATTAGCGTGTGTGTACACACATAAATACACATATACATGCACACACAGCAGCCTCTTTGTATAAATGTGAGCAATTTCCCTGAAGCTATCCTGTAAGAAATAGGATGGGAGACTGGGCCAGGCAGCCTGCAGTCAACACGCAAGCCAGCACATCTCAGCCATGCTATACCAGTACATCACATACTTTCCTGACATCTGCTTGGGTTCCCAGAATGCAGTCTCTGGAGACTGGGTCCTGGGTCACAGCTGCAACTATTCAAATGAAACTCTCAGGGTCTTGAAAGTACATTTTAACCTAATCTACTTCATAGCATGGCTACATGGAAATGGACTTTTATTCTTACCTATTGGATAGAGATATTAGAAATAATAGTCCACTCAAGAAAATAGCTTACATAGATTCCCAACAAAGATAAATCCTCTTTCCAAATCAGAGTTTAATCATGATAAGTAAAACTTATTTTTTAGAAATTATACAAGGACTGGAGCTGTGACCCGGTGGTAGAGCATGCACTTAGCACATGCAAGGCCTTCCATTTGACACAGCATTAGAAAAAAATAATTACACACATTTATGCAGCTATTTACATACGCAAGTTATGTTTGTTGTATTTTACTATACTGAACTTATATTTTTATTTTATTTATTATTATTTTATGTGTATGAGTAAATCGCCTGCATGTAGGTAAGTGCACCTGTGTTGTGCAATGCCTGCAGAGGTCAGAAAAGAGAGTTGAATCCCCTGGAACTGGCATTATGGATAGTTGTTAGCTGCCATGTGGGTACTGGATTGGAACACAGATTCTCTGAAAGAGCAGCCAGTGTTCTAAATCACTGAGCCATCTCTCAAGTCCCCATACTGAACTTATAAATACTGGAGAAGAGTCACTTAAATTCTTATGAGACTGTCATGGAAATTCATCATTTGCTGAAATATATCATCAAAATTGTACATTGAATTTACTCAAGAATCAGAAACTAAGAAAGTTGGTATAATTTAGTTGACATGGCTAACTCTCATGATGAAAGACAAGGGCTCTTCTTCCCACATATGCAACCTTAAATAAATTGAATCTTTACTACTTGGGACACTTGTGAGGTCCTACCATGGTGTCGTCATTATCTTGAGAGTAATAACTTTTCCACAGCTAAAATAAACTTCCAGTGGAACTAAGATTGAAGTTATGATTGCACATTCTAAACATTTTCTTAGACTTTAGAGACACATCATAGGTGTATTAGTACATATGTGTACACACACACACACACACACACACACACACACACATACACACGCAGAGCAACCCCTACATATGAATGGAGTGATTTCAGGAAGTTTATTTGTAAGCACTAATGACCATTCTCTGTAGGAGTACAGTTGCCATTCCAGGACAAAAAGCTATTTATCTCATATTTCACACTATTTCAAGTGCTGCTTTTATGGGTCATCTTTCCCCAGTTTCCTCTCTGGACAGCAGAAATATAACTCTCTGCACCACCAACCCTACGCACACTGTAAAGCCCATTCTGTTCTGGGTGGTGTATGTTCTAGCAACCCAAACACTTATCAAGTAATGTTCCTGATTTACAGTAATTCTATAGTTGTTTATATCTTTAAAATTATAAAAAATCCCTTGTACGTTTTGTGTTGAGTATTTTATTAACCCTATGGAAATTAGTAGCTGAGAAGGACAGCTTAAAGCAATCAATTTGTCAAAAACTCACTGTGACTAGAGTGAACATTCCTTCTCAAAGAAGCCCAGCATCTCCTGCATGCCATGTTCCTCGCCTCCCACAATCTCCTATCTCAGAGACTCTCAGCAGTGTGGACTATGGGGCTTCTGTAACTACGTGAACTTGGATGTGAAATTGCCGGCATTTATCAGGATTTGGGTACTAAAATACTCTTGGGGCTCTTTCTTACAGGATGGAGAACCTAATTCGGGGACGGAATCCCCCACAATACCAGCGAAGCCCTTGTAAAGAGGTTCGTGCAGCACTTCGGAAGAGGTCTGAGGAGGAGCGTAAGTATTAATAGGATCACGCTGACCTAGGTAGATTTTTGTGGTGAGTACTGCAGCGAAATAAGCGGATTCACCTCTAAAGTAGCAAACGAGAGAGGGATTCAATAAATATTTGTTGAATTGACCTAATTAAAAAAAAAAAAAAAAAAAACTACGGTGAATCCAAGCACCAAGAGCCCTGTCACCCCATAAGCTGTCTTCCAGGGCTCCAAGATGTTCGCCTGGCATTTGGGTTCCATCTTCAAAGGAGACTAGAAAGTTCTGCACAGTGTTTTTGTTGCATGATGGGGATCAGTGTTCTGAGGATCTAGGGTGAAGAATATTAAGAAAAGTGCTTAAAATCAACATTTTGCAGTTTCCTTTTCACGGTATTTCTCTTTTCAACATTTTTCTTTCTTAAAACTCTGTACTCTTTGAAAGTCACTATGTTACCAGAGAACAAATGCCTGAGGGGAATGTAAACCTGTTTGTCAAACTGAAGTGTTTGATTCAATGGAATGTAGTAAAATGTTTTGAAAGACAGATGTTATCGATGACACTATAAAGGCACTTTAACCGTCCTTGCATTATTAGGTATTAGAATGTTTAGGAGCTGGAGAGATGGCTCAGCAGTTAAGAGCTCTGGCTGCTCTTTCAGAAGTTCTGGGTTCAGTTCCCAGAACCCACATGGTAGGTCACAACCATCCATAACTCCAGTTCCAGGGATCCAGTGCCCTCTTCTGACCTCTGAGGGCATTGCATGATGCAGGTGCACTTAACTTACATGCAGGCAAAGCATTCATTCGTACACAAAAAAATAAATTCTAAAGAATTAAAGAATGTGTAGTCGCCTGCAGACTTTATTTAAATATTTATAGTTCATATCATATAACATATTATTGGAGAGTTTTGACACGATAGATACAGTGTTTATAAGATGACTCATAATACTAATTTTTCCATGCTATTTGCACACAGTATTTTCAGGCTACTAAGTCATGTTCCATCAGGACAGATATCCATCTGAATTTTGCCCTTTTATAAGAACTTGCATTTCTTGAGGATAAAGTTAATGTAAGTGGATCCATGGCGGTAGGCAGTGCAGCAGATCATTGAGATTATATTTGCATTTTAAATTAGTTTGAAGTACACTGCTCTGGGTTAAGACCAAATACTTTAGATCTGGGAAAACTCCGCAAATGAAGTACTTGCTCTTTGTGCTGTGTTGTAAAGTCAGTAGGTAAGTGCTTTCAGCGGACTTCTGTGTTGCTCACTAGAGTGTTCATCTTCTTTTAATTGGTGGATTTACATCTTCCGCACCAAAAACAATAGCTAATTAACTCTAAAATGTGAAAGTGAAAATATAGTTCAACCAAAAGCACTTGTAATATAAAGTTCCTTACATGTAAACGCTACCTTTTTTTCTGAATTCACAGGAAATGTTGGGCTTTCCTCTTTCCTGGTTAGGGCCTCATATCAGCCTCTGGTATAGGTCTATGGATTTTACTTAAAACCTTAGAAGGGGATTTTGGGGATAAGCTGGTAAAAGTGACTCTCCCGGGTTGCATTTAACACAGTGATTATTGTCAGTTCTCTTCTTATACTGCGTTTGGTAGGACAGTGTTTACTCAGCTGTGGTTTGTTGGTGTTATCGTCCTGATACCTGTTTCCATATTAAGAAACTTTATTGAAACACAATATTTATTTAGATATTCTTCAGACATCCTTTCATGCTGTGTAGAAAGATGACTAATTATGACTCAGGACATATGATCCAGAGAACCTGGATCTTACAAAACATTGTTTTTTAAAAGCTTTATTTTGTTGTTCTTTGTGGCAGAGTCTCGTTAGGTAGTGTAGGCTAGCCTCCAACTCATGATCCTTCTTCCTCAGCCTCCCACATGGCTTGGGAAAGATTTTGAACCCTGGTCTGAAGTAGTGGGTCTTCAGTTGTGGCATCCAAGCCAGCAGTACATAAAACACTTAAGACCTTGTTAGACATGCAGATTCTAAAGCCTAAACTTGCTGAATAGAGATCTCTTCAGACTAGAGCAGCGATCCGTACTTTAAGAAGCCCTGTGTGAGACTGCAAAGCAAATCAAGTTTGCAAACCACCAGCTAAGCCAAGTGATTGATGACAGATGATAGAAAGTCATGGTCTATACAGAAGAACAATGATGTGAGATATATTTCATATTTATGGCTTATGGTCGTCTAATGTGAAATATATACAATAAGATACTTCATATGTAGCTTAAAAGGTAAGTAATATAGCTGTTGCTTTTGTTATAAATTTAATTGAAATTTAAAGTCAATATAATTTTGTTGTTTTTCAGAAAGGTTTAGATAATCTCTTGTTAAACTAATAAGAGTTCCTTCCTGTGCTATTACAGAGGAGCATTAACTCCTAGGGAAAGACACCATCTTTTTATGATTGAAACAGACTATTTTGGTACTTTATTAATTTTAGACACACACGAAAGGGTTTATCCTATAATGTGACACAAGGAACAATATGACCAGCTGCAAAGCACTGGGGATTATTTTTCTGAAAAATTCAGCTTACATATTTTTAATGATGGTAATGATGCATATGCCTTATAGGATTGTTCTGACATGAAAGAGAAAGCTCTATATTAAGTACATTGCACACAAGCTGGGACGTGGCATGTTTTCTTCTACCTTTTGATTCCATTCTCTGCCTTTTCCCTTGTTGCTAATTCTCTTACACCAAATTAATCTTTTGTTTGAGACTAATAGGGCACAATTTTGGTATAAAAGCATGCAAATATTTCCAGTATGCATGAGGACCATGATTCAATCCCCAGCACTGCTGAAAAACTACAATTCACAGGTTATTCCTGTTTATGGAAAAAAGATATGACACAGTACAAGTTACAGGCAGACAGCATCAAGACAATATCACAGTCATGCTGGACTGTAATTCACATTACACAGCAATGCATCCACCACATGGTCCTTTGATTCTACACATTCAGCCTAGGGTCTAACCCACACCTTCGTTTCAATTCCCATGGAAAGCTACCACCTCAGAAACACATCATCACCTCAGAAAGTCTAGAGGCAGCATCTACCTGTCAGGAGAATGTGGAGCGTGTGGAACTCAGTTCGTTCAGCAGGACTCTCTAATTTGGAGATGTTTTGTGAGGAAGGTTTTTCTAAGTGGCATGTTTAACACTGATGGCTTTTATAGCTGTCTATAGTCTTGCACACGTTTTCAGCACTGAGATCAACATGAGGTCACCAGACGCTGCTCTTAGACAGTTATTAAATATTCATTTCATCTAACCATGCTACATCTAACAAGGCCAAGCAAACTTTCAGTGAAAAATAAATGGAATCTTATACAAACACACTTTAAACGTGGTCAAATTATTTCTTATAAAAAGCCAAATAAAAACTGTCCTCAAAATCTCTGGCCAGTCAGCTGAAGTCCTACATTTTTGTTCACAGGCCAATCTTCCCAAAGAGTTGTGCCTGGTCAGTTCATGTGCTTGCTTCTGGCTGCTCCTTAAACAAGCCCAATCTGGCTCTGGCTCGGTCACTCCAGCAGGAACAGGTTTCGCTCAGGTCACCAGTAACCTCTTTATGCTGCTGTCATGGTTTTCTATCTCCATGGCAAACCTGACAATAAACTCGTGGGCTTAAAACATGGCCATTTGTTATCTCTTGGTTAAGGGTCAGGTGTCTAGGCCTGGAGTCCAGACTCAAGTTTTTCTGCTCCAGGTCTCTCCAGGTTGGGTAGGGTCTCTTCCAAAACTCAGTCAGGGGAAGGATATGTGTTCTAACACTTCCACACTGCTGGTAGAATTTCTTAGAAATTCATCAAATCACTGCCCTCTTTCTGCTGGCTGCCATCGGGTGTGCCTGTCTGGGTACAAATACCTTCCTGCGTGTCTTATTGTACAGACATTCCAAACATGAGTATTTATTCTCCCTCTTAGAGAGTCCCTCCCCTATTGTAAGTCCTTCCACCTGACTAAGTCAGAACCACCCCAGATAATCTCAGTTTTGATTAATTCAAAATAATTTTATTGGAACCATAATGTCAATTTTGCCATGTACTTTGGTTAGAGGAAGGTCATGTTTCTCCTCTTGTGACAGGGTTTTCACGGGGATCTAGCATCAAAGGATACAATGATGTTCATTGCAAATCTCAGAATTCCAGTTGTCATTTATTGAACTTGCCGAACATCTTTAAGCGCCTTCTGTCAAATGCCATAGTCTGAATGTTTGCATCCCTCCAAAGTTTGTACAGTTTCAAAGGATGGTGGTAGGAGTCTTTGAGAAAGATGGAGAGTGTCAAGACAGAATCGTTGTTGGTCACCTTACATCAGAGGCCCCCTCGAGGCGTCACACCCCTTCCCACCAAGTGAGCACACATGGAATAGGCACTATCCATGAGCCATAAAATGTTCCTCACCAAGATACTAAATCAGCCAATGCTTTGATTTTGGACTTCCCAGCTTCTAGAAGAACCATGAGAAATGAATTCTGTTGTCCTTAAGCCTCCCAGCTTGTCATTACCTGTTTCAGCAGCACCAACAGATCAACACAGAAGCTCCTGATGTCAGGGCTTTCACAGTGAGGAGCACAGTGCTGTTGGTGCTCCTCACACTGTCAACCATGTGTCTCCTTCCAGCCCTTAAATACTAGGGTTTCTGGAAACCCAGTGAAGTCTTCTTCTCTTCAGATATATTGCCTGTACCACCCCTAAAGACCATCTCATTACACATGGTGTCCGCTCTTCCTATAGTCAGATAACGCACAAATAGATACATGTAGCCCAGGCCATTCATCCAGAAGTCTACTTAATGCATCTTCTTAGCTATTTCAACAGTGAAAACTCAACAAATGCTAAATCAGATTCCAGATGCTCCTTTGCAAAGCCTGAACTCATTCCAGTACTTTTATATGACTTTTACGTGGTATTAAAGATCGTGTGATCTCAGGATCATTTTTCACACTCTGCCGCCTACTTCTGCTCTCCACTTTAATTT